AATCACTACACAAACCAAGGGGCTGCTGTTCAAACAGAATAAAGGAATACAGCGTGGTTTAAAATTAAAAAGGGTGTGCATCACGGTTGTATTCTTTCACCAAACTTGTTCAGTCTGTATGCTGAGCACATAATCCAAGAAGCTGTACTCCATAAAGAACAGCAAATCAGAATTGGAGGAAGACTCATTAACCTACTGAGATATGCAGATGACACATCTTGCTGAAAGTGAAGATGACTTGAAACACTTATTGATGAATATCAAAGACTACAGTTTTCAGTATGGATTACAACTGGACCATAAGAAATACCATGATAAATGGAGAAATGACTGAAGTTGTCAGGATTTCATTTTACTTGGATCCACAGTCAACACCCATGGAAGCAGCAGTCAGGAAATCAGATGTTGTATTGCATTGGGCAAATCTGCTGCATAAGACCTCTTTAAAGTGTTAAGAAGCAAAGATGTCACTTTGGAGACTTAGGTGCACCTAATCCAAGCCATGGCTATTTTCATTTGCCTCATATGCATGTGGAATCTGGACAGTGAATAAGGAAGAGTGAAAAAGAGTTGATACCTTTGTATTATGGTGTTAGTTAAGAGTACTCAAAATACCATGGACTGCCAGAAGAATGAACAGTCTGTGCTGGAAGAAGTGCAGCTGGGATGCTCTCTGGAAACAAGAATGGCCAGACTTTGTCTGACCTACTTTGGCCATGTTGTCAGAAGGGACCATTCCCTGGAGAAGAATATCATGCTTGGTAAAGTAGAGAGTTAGTGAAAAGGGGGAAAACCCTCAACAAGATGTACTGACTGCAATGATGGTCTCGGGCATAGCAAGGATTGTGTGGAGGGCGCACAACCATGCAGAGTTTTGTTCTGTTTTACATAGGGTTGCTGTGAGTCAATGTTGACTTGAGGACACCTAATAACATTTAATATAACCCAAACCAAACCAAATCCACTGCCATTGAGTTGATTCTGACTCACAGCAACCCCTGTCAGGTTTCCAAGGCTGTAAATCTTTATGGAAGTAGATTGCCTCATCTTCCTCCCACAGACCAGCTGGTGGGTTTGAACCACCTACTTTTCTTTAGCAGCCCAATGCCTTTACCATAGTACTACCAGAGTCTGTTTTTTCCTCTTATAGAGGGCCAATCCCTTCTCTTTTATACTTCTAGATCTCATTCCTTCTTTTCCACTCAATGACATGTCTCCAGCAATCATCTCTTTCTCTCCTGGATCATCAAATTTTCCTTCTCTGGTGAATCATTACCATCGTAACACTTGCTGTCATTTCTATTATTTTAAAGTTTTCTCTCGACCCACACCTCTCTCTCTCTCTCTCTCTTTTTTTTTTTTTTTTTTTTGCCCCATTTTTCTTTTTTTTTTTCCTCAAAAGAAAAACTCTGCAAAAGAGTTATCTTTATCATGTGGTCCTCCTCTTCTCATTTCAGCTCATTTCTGTCTGACTTTAGCACCTACCACTCTTCAGAAACAGTGCTTGTCAAGATCACTAGTGTCCTCTGTGTTGCTACAGACAATAGTTAGTTCTTAAATTTCAGTCTTACTGATTGGCAGATATTTTTCCTAGCTTCTTAGTCTGCTTCCTTGAAATAGTTTTTCCCTTTGGCTTCAAGGATACTAACTTTTCCGGTTTTCTTCCTGTCTCATTGGCCAGTATCCTTTGCTTGTTCTTCTTTTGCCTCCCTCTGAATGTTCAAATCTGGTACTCCTTCCTCACTTTAGCTTGATCATTTTATTCAGTCTCTTGGCTTTAAAAATCATCTATTCAACTGACTCTCAGATTAATATCGCCAGTGTGGAATTCTCAGCTCTAGAAATACATATCCAACTGCCTTTCAACATCCTCACTTGACTGATTTGTAGGTATCTCCAACTTGATGCATCAGGAACCAAATTCCTGAACTTTCTCCCCAAATCTGCTCCGCTCGCAGTTTTCTCTCCTTCAAATGTATGCTTCAGCCCTGTTGGCCTTCCCTGTTTTTCCTCACACATGGCAAATATGTTTTTGCCTCAAAGTCTTTATTCCAGCTTTTTCATCCAGGGTTTTTTTCCTCTGCCCAGCATATTCTTCCGTCATGTATTCATGTGGTTCTCTCACTCACTTCCTTGTGATTTCTGTTAAAATGCCACTTCATCTGATATGCCCACTTATATATGTCACTTTCCCTGAAAATACAATATAAAAACAAAACCCCGTCTTTTCACCATATTGTATAGTCCATTACTTTATACTTAAATGTCTTTAATAGCTTCCTGTCTTACTCAGTAAAAGCCAAATCTTGTATGTTAATTTTCTTCTTTTTGCCTATTATGTGGTCTTCCTTACTCTTCCTCAAAAATCTTGGGAAAACTTCCTGCCTCAGGGCCCTCACACTTAATATTCCCAACACCTAGAACACCTTATGTGCATGGTTTGCTTCCTTTTCTTCAAGGTTTACCAAAATCTCAGTGAAACCTTTCATAATTACTCCATTTTATATTCTCACAACTGGACAGATAAGCAATATCATGGTAAACAAAGGAAAGAGTGAAGTTGTCAAGGATTTCATTTTATTTAGATCCACAATCAACCCCTATGGAAGCAGTCAAAAAATTAAATGACGTATTGCAATGGGCATATGTGCAGCAAAAGATTTCTAAAAAGTGTTAAAAAGCAGAGATATCACTTTGAGGACTAAGATGTGCCTGACCCATGCCATGGTATTTTCAACTGCCTCATGTGCGTGTGAAAGCTAGAATAAGTGAAGACTGAAGAAGCATTGATGTATTATGTTGTTGTCAAAGAAAATTGAATAGACCATGGACTGCTAGAAGAATGAACAAATCTAGCTTGGAAGAAGCACAGTCAGAATGCTACTTAGAAGTGAGGATGGTGAGACTTCATCTCATGTGCTTTGGACACGTTATCAGAAAGGACTAGTCCCTGAACAATTACATCATGCTTGGTAAAGTAGAGCGTTAGTGAAAAAGAGGAAGACCCTCAAAGAAATAGATTTTTCTTTGAGGCTGCAACCATGGGTTCAAGCATAGCAACAATTTTAAGGATGGTGCAGGACTGGGCAGCATTTCGTTCTGTTGTGCATAAGGTTGCTATGAGTTAGAACAGACTCAGTGGCACCTAAAAATGACAATAGCAGTATTCCATTTCTGTTTTTTAAAACCTTAGAGGTGAAGGTGGGAGCTCTGATAGTGTAGTGCCTAAGGCACTTGCCTGCTCACCAGAAGGCTGGTGGTTCAAACACACCAGCCACTCCCCGGAAGGAAGGTTGGGCAATCTACTTCCCTAGTGATGATGCCTTGGAAACCCAAGGAGGGGTTGCTATGAGTTGGGTCCGACTTGACGGCATATAACAACAACAACAAGAAGTGCAGATATTTTTGTTTTTAAAATAGTTATTAAAAGTGACAAATATGTACATGGTAATTTTGTATACCTTACCACACAGCATCTACCATGATTAAAATATTTTAAATAAATAAATAAAATATAGTGGTTTGTGAACTAAAAGACAGTTACTTAAGGAACACTTATAAAAAAGACAATAACTGGATAATATCTTTTTTAAAAAACTAGAAGTTTTTTGCTTGTATTTTTATTATTTACTTATGTATTTTTTGTATTGTTATTTGACCAAAATAAAACCTCTGTTGCCATCAAGTTGATTCTGACTTATAGTAACCCTGTGGGACAGAAGAAAACTGCCCCATAGGGTATCTGCTTTATAAAAGCAGACTGCCACATCTTTCTCCTGCAGAGCAGCTTGTGTGTTCAAACCACCAACCTTTTGGTAGCAGCCAACCACATAACCAGTGTGCCATCTGGGTTCTTACTGGTTTTTAGGAGAGTTAAAATTTGAAGACGGGTGAGTAGTAAGCTAGAGCAACTTGATAAAGTTAGTGATAGGATCATAAAAAGTTGGAATAGTAAAGGCAAAATTCTTGATAAGAATACTTTGTTCTTTTTTTCAAGGTAATATAGTTTAACTCTTTATATTGTAGGAAATTTGGGGACACATTTATACTCCAAAGGAAAGAATGAGAAGAAAACAGCTGGTAGGGACTGGTTCTTCTTTCAGATTATTGTTTACATATACTCTTCCTATGGACTACATGAATAACCTTTAATAGGCTAAGTTACACTTTTTTTTTCATTGTAAATTGTAATTTTTTATTTCAAAAAGTTGTATGTTCACATGCAGTTGTGAAAAAGAATATAGAGAAAATCCATGTACCCTTTGCTGAGTTTCCTTCAATATTTTAACCTTGGAAAATCTAATTCTGTTATGTAAAATGAAGATGATAGGTATTAATGTATTTCATAGAATACATTTAAAGGGTCAATGAGTTGATATAAAGTTCTTACCACAGGGCCTATCACATCATAAGTTGTTGTTATGTGCCGTCAGGAAGGACCTGGCTCATAGTGACCCCTCCTTGGGTTTCCAAGGCGGCATCACTACGGAAGTAGATTGCCCAAGCTTGCTTCTGAGGAGTGGCTGGTGGGTTTGAACTGCCAGCCTTCTGGTTAGCAGTCAAGTGTCTTAGTGACTACACTAGTAGAGCTCCTGTCACATCATATATGTTCAATAAATGGAAGCATAAAAGAAAGATATGGGTTACTATACAGTATTATTATAGTCTGTGACTTGTCAGTTAGTATGGGAAGAGATTGTTTTATTAATAGTTTTAACGTTTTAATGGCTGCTTAGATTTTATATATGTTTAAGAGGCAAAATTCAGTCTTTCTGACAATTAAACAAGATTGTTTAGTTCTTCAGAATGGATGTATCCTTTTTTAAAAAAAAATTTATTAATAGTAAGTGATTGCTTCACTGTTATGTATTTTAATCATAAAATACGGGCTAATTTGGATAAATAAATTATCTTTATATATAAACACATACCAAGGTTGAGACATCAATGATTTGCATATTTTAAGTTATATATATATATATATTTTTTTTTTTTCCTAGGTCACTGGAGTCTTAGATGACTGCTTGTGTGATATTGACAGCATTGATAAATTCAACACCTACAAAATCTTCCCCAAAATAAAAAAATTACAAGAGCGAGACTATTTCCGTTATTACAAGGTAAGATTATAATTATTTTTTGTTGTTGTGGCTTTGACTGAATATTTATTCATCTTAAAATTTTATGAATTTTGTGAGAATATACACACAGCAAAGTATGTATCAATTCAACAGTTTCTACGTGTACCATTTAGTGACATTGATTATATTCTTTAAGTTGTATAACCATTCTCACCCTCCTTTTCTGAGTTAACATGAACTTACTGGCCCCTAAATTTCTTATGTAATCTTTCAAATTGATGATGCCAGTTTTATCCCATGTATATAATTATTAGAAAAGCATAATGCTCAAGACAGACATTTTTTTAATAGTTAAGATAAACTATTGTTTGGTTTTAAGAAGACTCCAGGGGATATTTTTGGTTTAAAGTTTAAAGATTAGGACAATAGTTTCAGGAGTTCATCCAACCTTCATGGCTTCAGGAAATCTGGATTCCATGAAAATTTGAAATTCTGTTCTGTGCTTTCCCCCTTTTCAGCAAAGATTCTTTTATAGAATCTTTGATCAAAATGTTCAGTAATGGTAGCCAGGCACCATCTACTTCTGATCTCATGGCGAAGGAGGCAGTTGTTCTTGGAGGGAGTTACCAATACATTCCATGCCCTCCTCCTTTTCTTGACTCTCCTTCTTCTGTTCCTCCAGGTGAATAGATACCAATTGTTGTGACTTGAATGATTATTTGCAAGGTTTTAATAGTGCCTAAAGGCACTTGACTGCTAACCAGAAGGCTGGTGGTTCAAACCCACCAGCCACTCCGTGGAAGGAAGATGGGGCAATCTACTTCTGTAGTGATACTGCCTCGGAAACCCAAGGAGGAGTCGCAATGAGTTGGGTCTGACTCGATGGCACATAACAACAACAACAACAGGCACTATGCAACTAACTACTAGGAAGGTCAGAAGCACTAAATATGTCATTAGGCCATTTATCTGGGATGCCCTATTAAACCATTATCCTAAACCTACAAACCAAGAAATTAAATCTCATGAGGTTTTTGATTGTACATAAGGAGTCTCATCATCCACTTTTTGTTGTTGTTTTAAATATATCTCTCACACAACTTTTTTTTTTTTTATTGTGATTTGGGTGAAGATTTACAGAGCAAATTCACTTTCCATACAGCAGTTCACATAACTTTGTCTCATGACATTGATCACAGTTTACCACAATGCAATAGCTCCCCTCCCACTTCTTCCCCATAATTACCTCTTCCCTGTGTCCATCCCTCCTTGCACTCCTGCCCCCTGAGCTGTCTCCCTGTGCATAAGCAGTCCTTCTTTCTCCCATGTTTGTTCTCTCCAAGGAGAGTATCTACTTGAGGTAAATGTTCAACACATATACTTGTATTTTGTTTGGCTGGAAACCACAGGTGTGGGTTAAATTCCAGACCTGAAGGGCAGCTAGGGGCCATAGTCTCAGTGGTTCCACCAGGCTCTATCGGACCAGCAAACCTGGTCCCATCCCCTCCCCCCCCCTTTTTTTTCCTCCAAATGCTTTTGAGTTTTATTCCACATTACTCTCCCTCTCTATCCAGTATCTCCTACATAGATCCCCTTCCAAGTGGATGACACTGGTAGCCAGGCACCATCTAGTTCTTCTGGTCTCATAGTCATATAGGCTGCAGATCCCATGGTGTACCAGTCGCTAGGACTAATTGTTTCCATGAATTTTGCTTTTCTTCATTCTTCTTTGCTCTGGATGAGGAGAGACCCATCGTTGCATCTAGATGGCAGCTTGCTAGCTTTTAAGATCCCAATTGCTACTTGCCAAA